TTGTAACTAAAGTGGCTCACTTGGAATCGTTTGCAACCTCACAACATTTTACAGGCCTCATCAAGGTTTGACCTGTAAAATAACATGAAATAGCAAAAGGAACTAGAAGGAAGTGAGAAATGGTCTTCCCGCAAGCCGAAAGCGCTTAGTTTTCGGCGATGTTTGTCTACGGGGGGGGGGGGGCATTTTGTATTATAATTGCTTCCCTGGTTCCGGTTTACAAATCTCACTCTGGTAAAACTTGTGAACTCTTGTGAAGCTGAAGCAAGATCGTCTAGCCACTATTATCTAAAACGTGTCAACTCGAGAAACGGCTACCTAGATGGGTCGACTCATCTGTGTCTGTGGAAAGCAAAATGCCCCCCCCGTCGACAAACAGTGCCCTGGTTTCCTCCCACCACTCTTCAGTCAATTCCTAGGCTTGGGTAGTGATCCACTTTCTGGCGACGCGGCGAAGGTAGCTTTGGAATCGGCATCGCATGCGTCCCTTCAATCCAGGGAATAATCAGTCTGTATGTCCTATTACGTGGCGACGTTGAGAAGGAGTAGTAGCTACTAGATTGTGCGCATAGTCGCAGCCTTGTTCGCTGCAGAGACGGGAGTGTCAGGGGAGCCGGAAGCGGTGCCAGCCAGTTATCCACCAACTGTGGTCGCCTGCCAGTTTCTACAGTTGGTGCAGAGTGAGCTGGTGCTCCACCACTCCCAGCCCCCTTGACACTCCCCAGCATCCGCAGCGAAATAGGATGTAGCCGGTGTTGCTGCCGTTGCATAGGAACAACGAGCTGACGACAGCTCAAGTACCGTTTAGGGTAGTTTCACCTATATTGTTTGCAGTCCATTAAACCCTGTCCCAAAAAACTAGTGTTCAGTAAATTGCTACCAAAGCTTGCCAGCTGTGGGGAGGCCTTATAAGTATACAGAAACACATATTATTCCGCTGTGAGATCGCATTAAGTTCAAAGAAAACGTTTTTATCTGAATAACGCCAGCACTGTTTTATTCTGTTTTTGGGCATCCAAGTTGCTTCGCAGGCAAAAAAACCTTAGTTTTTCTTGTTTTTGAGGTTTGTAATGGCTTTTTATTACTTCGGACTGTCTTTCCTATCCGTCGACTTGAGCGATGATCGATTCACGGCCTACATGCTTTCGGCCTTCGTTGAATTACCTGGTGAGTATCTGAAACTGAGTAAAAGCATAACAATGTAGTTCGCTGCGGATGTGAGAGCCGGGAGGGGCACGCGCGGCAGCACATTTTCTAGCAGCGTGCTCAGACGGCCATCGCTTTCTGATACGCGCATCATCTACATGGAAAAGACTGACAACTCCCTACCAGGCTCTATAGGCTCACCAGTGATGTAATGAAAGGGGAATGATGCATTCCACATGCGAGAAAGGATCTTGTTGAAAAATGTTGAGTGTTGTTTTAGGTCATTTTATTCACCTCTTCCTACTTCCAGGCGGGCTGATGGTTTTGCCTCTGATGTTTTATGCAGGCAGACGAGCATTTGTGTCCTGTTTTCTATGGTTCTGGCAGGGTCTCTCTTCGTCACTGTGGCTCCATTTCGTCAAAACGTGAGACGTTTCTTAATAGTGTAGGAATCAAGTTAAGCTGGAAGTTTTGGCTGCTTCAGCTGAAGTCCGCAAAAGTAGCTGCGAGCAGAGGCTAGCCATGCACCAACATGCTTCACATCAGTTTGCAGCCTCAAATCTGTAAACGCCCCTTTTTGCTCTCAGATAAGGATTGCTAAGGACACTTACCACCTACGCAACGGTCCTCAGTACGAAAAAATAACAGTCTCTTTCAGACTCGCACTGGTCAATGGTTGGCTCGTTCCTGTTCGGGAAGCTCATAAACAGGTTGTTGCAATCAAAAATTTTGCTTGATTCAAAGGAATCCAGGAAAACAGCTTTCCGAAATTTGAAAATAAGTGATTGGTGTTTTCCGAATGCATCTCCCCTTAGCCCTGCGGAGAGGGTCATAGATTTCCATCTTCATTCCGCAAGAGCGGAAGACCGTCCCTCAATCTGGTTAGCAATAAAGCTGGTTTCTGTGACCTACAAGAATAGCTTGGAAACCTTTTGGAAAGCACAGTAAAACTGCGTGGCTGTTTTAGAGTCAAGGAGGGTCAAAGGAATCTTTTCCAGCGTTACTTATGCAGTACATCCTATCTACATATCAGAAATGACGCCAACATCAGTACGATCGCTCTCCTATGCGATTATCAACATTCCACAGAGTATAGGCATCATTGTGGCACCGTATCTTCGTCATATTGTACGTTATTGGTTTTGTTAGAGTGGCAGCAGGGTAACACGCGACGTCACGCACATCGGCTTAGCGGTGCTCGCAGCAGCCGATAAGATGCATTTGGAGTAGTGCGTTCATACTTTGCGATATAGTCTCTCTTATCGCGCGATCGAAGGTATCATTGGTACGGTCAGAACGACTAAATCGCGAAGTATGAGCATACCCTGAATTGAAAGTTGAGGAGACAAGAAACGGTGCTATCCACGTTTCTGGAAGGTAGTAGAGAAAAATCATAGGTGCTGCGAACGCTGCAAAGATAAGTTCGGGCGACGGTCGCGGGGTTACACCATGATTCTTACCCTCTTTTTTATCAATATTTTTTATGAAAATTCTTCACCTGTGTTGCATGCAGAGTCTCGGTCCAGAATACGCAAAGTTCATCATTGTTGGAGTACTGTGCCTTATCGCTGGAGGTCTCTGCATTTTTCTCCCCGAGACGAAAGATCGTCCTATGCCGCCGGATATCAGAAGTCTAACCGCGCCAGATGATCATACTGTCGATCAGAGAGATCGAGAAGAGCTGCTCAGGTAAGCAATTCCGAGATTTTTTTTGAACGGTTCTTAACGAACAGTGTTCTATTTCCTCTATTTCTATATTACGCATTGCAATATGCTAGTAACGCAACAATCGTTTCTAAGAACAGCACTGAATGATGATGAGAGCACCTCGGCACAGAAAGTCCCGGCCATTCTTCAAGAAGACTGATCCTCTCAGTGTGCGAATTTAAAAATTCATTTGCTATACCATACTTACACCTGCGTTTAATAAAAGTAAGCGTCGATCTGATGAAACTATGTCTTCTAAAAAAACATAACTAGGTATAACCATAACCCGCAGCGGGTGTGATAGGAGAAAAGGTCTACAAAAGAAGGATGACGAATGCCGCTACCATGCATTACACCAGAAGTTGAGATACGCCTTCTTCAATGAGAGGTCCGCGTTCATCAGCACAAGGACGCCAGTTGGATAAGCGCTGCTGGGTACACCAGAAACACTGATTCTCCATACCAGCAGTCACAACTAGTCACTGTTGATAAGGGTAACCTCAGTAGTGAAGGGACACTGGGTCAGTTTGCATATAGGGACTATCTACATTCTGATAAAGCGAGTCTTCTCGTGCGCCCTGCATTTGACGGGATTTCTTTTACCGGAATTGGCTCACTACGAGGCTCAAATGGGCATTGGTTTTGGAACCCAAATGCAGAAGCTCTGGCCGCATCGATCGCTCGGAAACTAGGCCAGAATCATCTTTACTTGCCATGGATGATGCTTGGTTTTTTGGCAATCTCTGGGGTCATCATTCCCTAATCGTTCGCATGAGTAAGGCACACCATAGACACAACAGCACGTTCCTTGCAATGAGTGATCGCTGAAAATTAAAACGTGGTCAAAAAGTTCGCAGCGCTGTTTCAGCATTACTGGACATTTCGGTGAATTCAAGGCATTTGATTCACTGAACGACTTTTCGTTATGAACCCGTGGAGCCTTATTCACTAGTCACCTGTACCCCGACTTGTCCTCGTGTGTTACGCATCCGAGGCAATGCGACTTTGATCCAATATCAATTCCCGGTTCTGTGCGCGTCTTTTACCAAGCTGTTAGGCCGAACATGTTTCACCAATTGGATCGGCCCATCCTCGTTTTAGGCCTTACGCCAGCGGTCGTTTGCGAAGGGGAAGCCCTTATTGACGTTCCGAGTAATCATGCGCGCGAAAAGCATCTCCCCCCCGCCTCCCCCCCCCGGAATCCCAATCGTTTATCTGCACTTTGCTCGTGTTGTGAGTGGGGGTTGGGGGTGTGGCCGGTTGGCTCCCAGCACCAAACAACGTCCGAACACAGATTAGATAAGTGGTGTGGCAGACAAAGCTTCAATATTGCGAAACTCAGGCCGCTGTATCCGCCACGAAACAGTTACATCAGATATTATCCAGCTCTGGTTTCTCATTTTAGTAATTTTGAAAAGATCATTAGCGTGGAAAGCGCAAGGCCGCTAAAAATAAAACTGTTTCCTCCTAAAAACGGAGGGGCAGCAACAAAACATACTGAATAGTTAAGCATCAGAATTTATTGCAGCGGCGTCTGCCACAGAAAATACAGAAACTTTCCTACCCATTCAGTGCCCAAACAATGGAAGGCATCGATGCTGACGTGGTAATATAGGAGCCATGGTTTTTCGAATGCGCTCATTCAATCGCTGAGGGAATCGCATAGTCTCCCGACCATCCACATGCAAACATTCAGAAAACCGATAGTCAATGCCACTGAACTGGTTAGTATGCAGTAAGGTTGAACGCTTAGTGGCTTATCCCCACCGTCACAAAGAGACAGCTCGCCGTTTTTGTTGAAATTCTGCGTGGCTGGTTCCCAGAACCGGTTGGATGACTCTGAGTCAGCGTTCAAATGTGCGGATTGTACGTTACGCATCATGATTTGACTTCTCTGCTGCACTTGCTCACCCAGTTTCGGTCTACGGACAACCTTAACCCTTTCCATTACAGCAGTCAAGCGTCTGTCTTTTATCGTATGTATGTGCTCCTTTGCCTAAATGGCTTGGTACGACCACCGTGACAAGTAGCTCTCCAACGCTGATGAACCTTGGCACGTTGTCTAGCAACATTCCAATACACTCAGCCGCCCGCCCTTACTAGTTTGCACCTTGGACATTTGCGATGAAACCCTTGGCAAGGGGCTATTTAAGCAGCCACGTATAGCCCTTTTTTGCTCCAAGGCTTGCCTCAACCGGAAATTCTCTCGCTGTGAGGGTTGAGAAGCATTTCCTTGTAGAGTTGTTGGGCGGTGCCTTTGAAAGGAGGGGAGGAGGAAGGTTAGGCAAACAAAGATGGCATAGAATGGCAACAGAATTAATAAAGGAGTCGCACCTACGAAAATTCGCTCCCTTTCGTTCTTTTGGCCCATGTCCAACAGATGTGCTAGAAACTCAGCAGCCCAGCGGTTATTTCCGATAAAGGTTGCAACCATATCGAATGAATAAAACGAGCTCGCCGGATTGTACGGCCGATTATGCAAACCATTGTTTGACGCTCTAGCGCCATGACGACCTTCAACCTTGAAATCTACTCGGTATTTCAAAGTAATTGCCGATGACCTCGAAAAACGTGAACTGACGAGCCTATTGAAAGCGGATCGATTTCCAACTGCGAATTTCATTTCGTACCACGCGTCCTCGGGTAACCCCTTACTATTCTATCTCGTGCAAAGCAGGAATTCTCCCATAAACGCTATTTCGAAATGTTGCACTCATTGTTCATTCCAAAGATCTTCAGTAACAAATATTTTGTCCTCCAGTACTAATATTTTGGCCTACAGACGCGATAAGTTTCCGACAGTGACATGGGTAGTGGTCAACATCTCAAGGACCGTGATCATTCCTACTGGGGTCGGAGATGTTCAGGATGATCCAAGCGTTTTTATTACGCAAGAACCCTATCCGGTCAAGGGACCAGTGGAATTGATTGAGGTGAATCCGTGAACCCCTTGAGGTGAACCCCTTATTTCTATTACAACCTTATTTGTAGGTCTGAGGAGTTTTCCACTTCTTAGTTTCTATCAGTCTTTCTTCAGCTCTCTCCCTCATTGAATTCTACAACGATGTGAAATCGTAGCTGTGAAGTCTTCATGCCTTGATCCCGCAGCATGAAGATTTCACAGCTGAAAGATCGACTTCTTGAGTATGTCCTCTTCGTTTGTTATACGAAACCGTTATTCTGTTTTGAATTCACTGAACCGCTCGTAATCAGTTGTCTCCCTAACTGTTCTTTCACTCCTGACTGTCTGGCAGATATCAAGGAAAAAATATTGAATTTGGAATGTGGAAATATTCTGCAAGATATCGGATATTCATGGAAATATCCTATAGAAGGCAGATCATTGAAGTTTGAAACGTTCGCTAGATACGATCCCCACACTTCCTCTCCGATGCAACCCTTCACGAATGCCTTTGAAAAATTCAAGGAAGAGAGTTCGTACCAACCCTTATCCCTGAGCTAGAGTAGGCGTGGCATTCGAACATAGCACGGACAGCTGTCATCTTATTCTGTGTTGGACAGAGACACGACAACAATTGTGTCAAGATGAAAATATCTCACCAGAAGCATAGACACCTTCAGGTTAAGTTGAAACATGCGGCCACGCCTACCCGATCTCAGGGATTTCGAGTATAGGCACCTTCAATAG